AGATGAGAAAGAAAAGAGGCTCACACGACGTTGCTCTTTGGCCCCGCCCACCCGGCTCTCCGGACGGCGCTTTCAAAAAAGGAAAGGTGAAAGCCATGAGTATTAACTTGATGAGTAAGACGGCGACTCGAGCTGCTATTTGAGTCGCCCTCTTACATGAAAAAGCCGCTCTTATAGTACTTTCCTTTAGCACTATTACCATCACTTCTTATCATACACATATTCGTCTGCTATGCACTTATGGCAAGGATGCGAGTTCGGACTCGTCGTTAGAGGAGTAAGGATAAGGTGGACAGGTTGAAGGAACGTGGGATATATCAATGAAGTCTAATATCCCACACCGACGAATGAGACCTCCAAAATCAGATATTCCAACCGACTCACATCCATTGTCATACTTTGAGCACGTAAACCTCGCATCGCTGGTGGTTTTGAAGGCATTGATACTGACGCATGACGAGAGGAACAAGCACTTCCAGCTCAAAACAAGAAATTGAATTGAAAGCTCAGGCAAAACGAGATTAGATCTCTCTCATGTACTAACTGTTCCACAAAGCGAATGAAAATAAGGTTCGCATTCAAATCACAATCGTGAAAATGACCAAGACTCACGAGTACTTTCATCATCGACCAGACTTTTGAAATCCAACAAATAACTACGCTGGTCTACTTGGTATAGTTGCAGGGACATTTTTGGCTAAAATAAGACATTATTGAACAAAAAATCACATAGATCTGCTGAAAAAGTCTCCGCGGCTAGAAAACAGTGACAAATTGCGCACTATGAAAAAATGAAAAGTCCGCGAAGAACTAGGCTGTGAATGTGGCTTATGACCCAGAACTGAGGCTGAGCAGCTGAGCTCATCTTCAAAGGCAGTTGGCACGATAATTTGGTACTCGGCCTAAAATGCTAGCAGGGCGCTATACAGCGGGAAAATGGCGAAAGAACGGAGTGAAACGGTCAAAATCCAGCGAGCGTGGTGGGTGTTCGGGTCGGTATGTTGTAGCTTGATAGGGCCCTTATAAGGGCACCTTCCTTGGAAAGGGCGCTGCGCAGCGCCTTCTCAGGGCGCGGAATTCCGTCCTGCCAGGCGTATTAATCCTACTCGTCTTCGGAGATTCATCGTACCAACTGCCTTTAAATTGACTTCAAGGAGCCACCCCAATGACGAATAAACAATTTAAGCGACGAATTACTTAAAAGAAGTCTATGCAACACTCACAGGGTCAGAAATTGGATTATCAGGCTTCTTTCGTGCAATCACGTGGTACGGATTAAGCACTTTCCACTCCATATCCAAACTTTTCATTGCTCGGAACACTTCATACATGATATCCTCTGCAACAGAAAATATACAAAAAAAATTTGCAAACGAAAAGAAAACGGCGGTGCTCACATAGTTCGGGTCGAAGGGGGAGAGGGGAGGAGGAGGAGCGGGGCACGTAGCAAATCCTTGTCCCTTCCCCTTTCCAAGGCTCAGGTGCGCAGATGATCATAGTCGCCGCCGTAAGGTTTCGCGAGGCAGACATAATCGCGCCGCCGCGTCCTCCCCTCCCCCTCTCCCCACCAAATTATGTGAGCACTGAGAAGATCGAAGAAACACGTGTATTACTACAGTAAGGAACGAATAACAGAACGATTAGCTCAACAACTGACCAGGCCGACTTTGCGATCTGATTCCAAGATGCCATTTCGCCCGTTTCACACCAGATTTGTAACCAGTTGCTTGCATAGGAGTTGCATTAGCAAATGATACGTCAACTCCACCGGCATTTTCAAGTGTAGGAGTAATTTTGTTGCTTACAGCAGCTGAACAAAATAAGAGATACAAAATATTAATGTAATTCTAAAACTACATACACGTACAGTTTCTGATTTGAACTTTAGGGTCAGAGAAACTCTGACACTAAAGTTCAACTTCCTTATGGAGCCTTTTCGAGAAGTAGCAGTACATCACCTGCTATACGTTCAGGATGGCGATGCTGGTCAGAATGGTGATGCTTGTTTGGTGCTACCTGATAGAACTCTTCGATAGTCAATTTCGCCGCTGTAATATAACATTATTGATGCAGTGTCAAATTCAAACAATATTTTAATCAGTCAACTAATCAATCAACACATTGCCATTGCGCACAGCAGCCCGCTTGTCCCAAAATATGGGACGTTTTGGTACAAAGGTGGAAAGCATAAATTGCCAGCAGGAGAGATAAAGTATGTTGCTCAGGTTCAGTCGAAGAGGAGCGGTGGGGGAAGCACCTCTGGGATGTCTGGATCAGATTCCCTGTGCGAAATGATATCAAACTCGGAATCGTCATGTGGATGGGTTTCAAGTTCCCTAAACGTCTACAAAAGAGAGTTGGTGTGAGTTACGGTATGCACAACTGTGTGCGTTCACGGTGCGATATATCTGAATTCAGGCGCATTTTCCAGGGTACTGTAACCCTGATTCCTGAACTACAATCTTGTAACATTTTTGCCTCAGCTTTTTGAAGGATTGTAAAAGGAAATTGCTGGAATTCATCGATTTGACAATTCACTTTGAGCACTGAAAACTAAAGGAAATAGATTAGCAGAAATTTGAAGCGCACAGCTTTATAGAGCGAAAATTTCTTCATCGACATGAATACATTTAACGATAAAAAGTTTCTCACTTTCAACGCAAAACTTTCAGCTAAAAAATGCGCTACTTATGGGCCAACAAAATACTTGTACAATAACTAAAAACGTAGAGGCGTGTATGGCACATGAATGAAATAGGTGTTCGCTTTACGTCTGCAAAAAATTTTACCAGAGAAAGAGAATAAGGGCGGAAATGTCGATCGACC